TAGTATGCGGTAAAAAACCTGGGGGAAGATAAAAAAATCACAGACATACCATATCCAGATCCAATCAAGATGCTGTCGACCTAATTTTGCTTTGGACATTCGGAAATCTACAGACTGAAACCGAAACGCGATTAAGCTTCACGGTTTTTCACTTAGCAACACCAAATGAAAACTGGGACTGGGACGGAATTTCGATATCATACCCAATCAATGTCCAGATTTGCCAAACGAAGTCTAACATGTTTTATAGATTTTTAAAAATAAAACACTTTAACGGTTTAAAATGATGATTTTCACGTGACCACGGCTGCTGCAAAGCATCCGTGGTGGCAAAACGTCGGGCCGAAGTTAAAAATCATTTTCAAATAAGTTTAACTAATACGTGTTTTATTTAAAAAAATACTCGCGAAACGGATTAAAAGTATTTAATCTCTCTCCTACTCGACCCCTCTGTAGCTAAATCTTTATACGTGTGGCCTAGCAATGCGTTAAGCAGTAGAGGTCCAGGGTTCGAATCACGGGAAAACAAATTGTTTCGACCGTTCACTGAAGTCTGATCAACTAATTGCCAATCAATAAAACTCATCAGTGTAACGGGATTTTTTTACAATAATTATTTCATATTTAAAATTATCATCTACGAGTATAGTGTATACGTACGAATTAAAAATACACCGGATATCGATGTCACATATTCGCGTAATGTTTGACGTCATCTTATTATTTCTCCCGCCCCTGACCAAGACCGCCGCGACCCAAATAGAATGAAATAAACATTACTGCTTTGTCATTGGTGCTACAAAATTCTAAGACTTTGTTACAATAAAGAAGCTAAAAACCAAAAAGTTTTTGGTTCAAGGAGTTAAATTGGCAAGAAATGGTGTTTAAATAAAACGCTTTTAACGGTTTTAAACGCTTAACGCGTTTTAGTCTTTGGATTCTAGAATATTTAAAGCCAAAGTTGCTCGACAGCAAATCTTATTTAGATACTATATGTCTGAGGTATTTCATCAAGTGAGTCTGTCCACCCCTATTACTTATAAGGGCAACATTAATTTAATATGAATTTAGCGTCTAAGCCTACAAATCACGATGGAGCACAAACAAATTGCTTAACACGCAATTAAGCGTCGGCTCAAGGGACCAAAATGGAATGCGCATGCGATTGCCGTCTGAGTCAGAACATCGTCATTGATACGTATAAGGGCATAGTAAATACTGAGCTAAAGCTTATGTTTAAAAAACTTGGCCATTGTTTAAAATTTGTCACGGCTTAAGAATGTGCTGTTGCTGTTCATATTAAAGCGATAATAATGTTCTTGTCACGTATAAAAAGTAATATACATACATTCATAGCCTTACTACATCTATAGAAGTTGCGCTGTCGCCCTATTCTACCTTAGGACTTCTTGGTAATACATAGTAGCAGACAGTAACTCAATTGGTTAGAGCAACAGCACGTAACGCTGAAAAATGATGGTTCCAGTGCTACCCTTCATTATTTCAATCTAAAATCGATTTTTAATTTCAATAATGCCATCATGTACACGTAAGAAATATTCAAGTTTTCAAAAAATTACTATTCACGGATTTTTCAGCTGTCGACGGTGGTTTCTGACCCGGATGTAGTTGCGATATTACTACCAACCCCTTTAAATTTTTCAAACAACATGTTTCAGAAAATTACAAATGATAAATCGACGGTGTTTACAAGTAATAAGAACATCTCGAAAATGGAATTGTGATTTTTAAAAACATTAATTTCGGGTCAACGTTTCATTACAATTAACCTAATAAGAGGGACAGACAGACGCCTCGCAGACGTACAGGAAACAGCGGGATCCGAACAATAAAACAAAGTATTTGGAGCAGCCCAGACGTTACGCTCCAAAAACGTCTAGTAGGCCTTTCGTAAACAAGAACGTTTTAGTAGTAGTAGACACGAGAAAAATAAGTGTAAACGTCGTCTTAGTTTTTTAACTGTCGAAAAGCAATTTTCAGTCGCTTCGTTTTAATTAGTTGGTTTTAATCCGTAAAGTAATTTTGAGATAATGAATACTACAAGTTAAATAAAACACTCTTAATGGCCTAAAATTGTATAGTTAACCTATTTACAATTTATTTTAACTACCGCCTGATGTTTACTGATGTTTGAATTCCTTCTTATACATTCACGTTTGAAACCATTATGTTTTATTTAAATGTGCATTATATAAGCGGCTATTTATCGCTTATACTATAGAAATTCAGCCAGTACAAAATAAGTTAATAAAAATTCGACATAGATGTACGACGTAGTGAATACTACGAAAATTTTAAGCTAGAGTACGCGACGTAACGTAATATGTTATGTAACGAGGATCAATACCCTCCCTTCATAAGTTATCATTATATGGGATGAGAAACTGTTCCATAAATATATAAATGGATATAAGACCTTGTGTATTATCCTTTACACGTGACCGGACTGAACTGTAGATACTGGTATAATTAATGAATACGACAAACTTTTAAGAAAATCCAAAGTCGGAAAATAAAGCCTGAAAACAAAACCTATATACGTGGCTATGAATATAACTGAACAAATTGATATACGTATATCAAAAGTCGAAATAGGTGGACGACTTGTTTTGATGTTATATGGCTAGGGACCATCTACCATCAAGGGATCCCATTGTTTGTCTGTCACCCTCTATCATAAAAAAAACACTAAATATTGTTGGACGGCTTAAATAATTCGATATTATTTATTTCGAGAAAAATCATTTGGTGTAAGAGATATCTCTTTATACGAAAGACAGCATACCAAATGAGCAAACGAAATGAAACAAAAGAAAGGTCGATAAACTAATAAATATCCCTTTGTGGAGGACGGTGGTACAATAAGTTTTACTTGGCGACATCTGGGCGAAAGGATCATTTACTTTGTTATATTATTACTTTTGTTTAGATGCCTAATATAAGGCAAGAATTTTCTGAGATAAGGAAGAGAAAACAATGAAGATTGAATACTATTTAAAATGTATTACCGATTTAAATAAAACACTTTAACGGTTTAAAACGCGATTATTCGTATTTGGCGAAAATACCAACTTCGACGGAACAGATAGCGCTAGCGTAGCAATTTTTTTGCTTTGACGTCAGAGACATTCTCCAGAGATCTTTAGTCTCCCCGTTACCTGCTGCAAGCATCCGAAACGTCGGGCCGAAGTTAAAAATCAGTTTCAAATAAGTTTAACTAATATATCGCGTTTTAAACCGTTAGTGTTTTATTTAAATGTGTACTACTCGCGTAAACTATAGACAGTACCGACTTTTTTGTAAAGCACAGCACAATATATATTTCTTTCTTTCTCAAAGACAAGGTAGTTCAATTAGTTATACCAATAGCTGCAAATAATGAAGATGGGTTCGATACCCGTCCGTGCCTTCGCATTTTTTCGATTCTAAACATATTCATGTGTAATATTAAAACCCCGGCAAACAAATGTTAAAAAGTTTAACTCCAGAGATGACAAACGTCTTCTCTCATAAGCTACGTTTTATTTATATTTCAGGCTATATTTAAAAAAATGTTCCTAGTGCAATAATAAATCCAAAAACAATAAAGGTATGGCAATTACAGATTAAAGGTAAATCAAAGAAGGTGCATACGTGTTCATAGTATAAAGTTGCGAAATGCAACAATGTGCTGAATTCTTTATTGTTGCCGATTTTCAGTGGCCTTTGCGCCTTCGCGGTTTGGCGGTAACAAATAAAAAAATGTAATAATTACCAGACCATTAAAACTATACAGAACAAATAATAGAAACAATATTTTATTAAATTTATGTAACAGAAACGAGAAAGCCCCCAGCGTGTCGGAATCACGGGGAAATAGGTTTCCGTAACGATAATCCGTTGCGGTTCGACTCATCGTAACCGCTATCTCAAATTAAATTATATTTCGTGCTTATTGAAATTATTGATCCGACCCCGTTGCAAATGTTTCTCAATAATTGGATTTTCGATTTCGAATTGGATTTGCTTTGTTGCATACAATCGTTCGGAACATGGAAGCAAACCTCTGCGAATATATACAAAATGTGGTGCTCTAAAGACCCGATGGTCTATAATTATTCCCTGAATAGCATTAACATTTGAATATTTTGGGCTTACTTTTTACATTGTGGAATGCAATTAAAGGCAAAGATAAACTATGATACGGTACGTTACTAAGAAACTAATGTCAATTGTGGCAACACAATGCGCAGACGCAAATTCCAATTTGAAAAACATAAAGCATATTAATAATTTGCTGTTTATTAGGAGAAAAAAAATGCCATCTAGACAATCTGTCGTGTCTATTGTTTATGATCATTTTATAACCGGATGTAAACTTAAACACTTTGAAATCTCACCCTTAACTGAGATCTGCAATAATGACTAATGAGTATTAGATACTGTCTATAGTTTACGCGAGTAGTACACATTTAAATAAAGCACTTTAACGGTTTAAAACGCGATATATTAGTTAAACTTATTTGACAATGATTTTTAACTAATATCGCGTTTTAAACCGTTAAAGTGTTTTATTTAAACAACAAACTTGTGAAATCAATAAACTAATATATTTTTTATATCTAGAGGACAGACTAGCATAGGGTTCAGATGTGTTCTCAACCTACTTTGGCTTTAATAACGATAACCAAAAATCCACAAACTGAAACCTATACCTGATTAAGCTTTACAGCTTTTATCTGTCGACGGTGGTTCGTGACTCGAAAGGAATATCAATATTCCTACCACTGCTAAATATTCAAAACGAATATAATATATCGCTTCTTAAACCAATAAAAGTATTTTATCAAAAAGTATATTCATAAAGAAAACTACACTATGTATATTACAATTGTCATACACAAACCGTAAAATCCAACGATACAAAATTATGCTTTTATAGTAGTACCTGTTTTTTTAATCGTTTGAATAAATACAGTCTATATATATATAAACCTAACCTCAGTCCTTATGCAGGAATCCTGTCTATACACGACGTCAGTGTCTATAATAAGTCCACCGGGATCCAATTTCAACACATGATACCACATCGCTCATGTTTTGATTATCTATACTTCTAGTTGCATTCTAGACATGCTATTAATATCGCTTCAATTACTTTGATTGCCTCAATGAGACGAATATAAGGTAATTTATTCGTTTGTTTTTCCCTTTAATGTTTCCCACAGTTGGGACTGCATATCAAGGGCAAGAAGGACACAACGAATGCTCCATACTCTTTTTATGTTAGACATGGTCGGGTACAATGAATTGAAGGTACGGACTTATTAAGAAGCAGAAACATCATAAGATAATAATATAACATTATGCTCTGTAAAGGTAGAATAAATTGTTAGAAATAAATAAAACTTGACGATTTTTAGAATAAGCTGATCAGAACGTACACTTTAATAAACTTTTTGATTCACGAGTAGTCGAAGTCCAGTCAATGGGTTTTGTAGTAAACATTGGGTTTATTATGAGGAAAATTGTTAATAATAATTCTTTATTGTTGTTATGCAAGGTGAAAACTAGACATTGAAAGTACTATTTCTGTTTTTTTATTTTATCCGTGGTCATTTAATTCTAGTGTTGATAATGGCGCCCACATTTTGCCTCGCTTGCTCGAGCGCATTAAAAATAAATTATATGGCATCTCACCAGAGTCTTTTCCTTAAAACCTTACAAGGATAGGGCCTCTCATTTCAAAATAATGACCAATGACAATAGGTTTAGTAAGGCTGACCTTTCTCTTCTCCAAAAAATTCTAAATAACTTTGTAGACAGTCCTGCCCTTATATCAAAAATTTCCCATTAAACCTTTTGCCGTTCCATTTTTTTCGAACCGTCCTTAGCTTTTCTTCTGCAATCCCTAGATTTTGTAAATTAATGAACAAATATTCGTCTCACTTAGACCCTTTCCATCTATCGTATAACCGGTTTCGTCGGCTACTCAACCTTACTTTAGAAAAAACTTAATAAGAATAGAAAGAAAATAAAGAAATGTAGTTACCTATTATTAGTTAAATAATTGTACCTTAATTTTAAGATTATCTCTCTGTTTTAGACTTAATTTATTAATACTGTATCTTATATTTAGTCTGTACCACACACCATGTTTATTTTATGCATCTAGTGTCTACCTTAAATATAGCTATACTCTTTATATTGTTAATAGTAAATATTCATACTATGTAATACCCGCTGGCGTGCCTTTTTATAAATAACTACATACTTCTAATAAAACTTTACTTTAAATCCTTATTTGTTTTAAAATTTACATCTTTTTTAATTAGTCAAAAATACGACATTACGTTAGATGTGAATTTAGTGCCTTTGATATTTAAGTTAATTGTATTATTGTTTGTAAGTATACTAGTTAGATGTCTATATGAATTAGGTATTACAGAGTAATTGTATTTAATGAGTAAAAAAAAATGCGTATTCATTGTTGTTTTTTTCATTAAATAATTGCAAAGGGTTTAAGTAATCACAATTTGTTCCATTATGCGACATTTGTGTATGCTGTATCTCTTATGCGAGAGTACAGCATACATAATCTCTCTCTAAAGAAAACTTACAACTCTTGGCTTTTTCATTACTGCAATGGATTTTTTTTCATTTAACATTTGCAATTATAATTAACTTGATACAGAGTTCAAAAGTCACTTGATATCAATTGGTTACGCTAGGCGATGTATTGGCGCCAGTTAACTTGCTGTTGTTAGACCGTGAAGTAATGTACGTCGAGAGGATGTAGCTAAGTTTGGTAATATTTATATGGGCATCATATTTTCTAAAAAGCTTTAACGTGCTCGTTGGACCAATGTTAGAAATGCATGGCTAATAATCAACGAAAAAACATTTTGACTTCATTTGGAAAATCTGGATATCGTAGAAAGCAATGAAATTTAGCTATCAGGTTCAGTCTGTGGACCTCTAAATATCCAAAGCTAAAATATGTCGACAGTGCATCTTGTTTTGATGGTAGCCTTTCATCAAGTTAAACACGCGCTTGGCATCCTCCCGCTCATAAAAAACACGTTTAATAGCTTAATAAATTAGCATTAATAAATTATTATGGAGCATACATCTAATATATAAATACTAAAGTGTGGTCACACTGATTTCCACGTCTCTAATATCGGAATGCCTATAGTATTTACGTTCTACGCAGAAACTAACCAACCGTAACTTACCTAACCGCAGAGTTTATATCGAACGAGATAACGATAGCTACGTAACCAACTAGATCCTATTTCATTTATTTTTCTTCTGTTTACCTTTATTTTTCCTTTATTAGATCATTATTACAGGCTGGTCTATGGTCAAATTCTAACAATTTATTTCTAATATTCAATAGGAACATACAAGTTATTTATAATTCGTTTGAAATATGTTATCCCTCGTCTCAAAATCTTTATATGAAATTGGTGGCTTAATAGAAATTCTTCCGGGTCACGAACCACCGTCCGCAGATAAAAAAGCTTTTAAGTAATCTGCATATGGATTTCAATCTGTGGATGTCCACAAAATAGGACTGTGCATCTTGTTTAGATTTTATACGGCTGAGATCTGATCAATTGTTAAACTGGATTCACATAAATTCAAACATAGGGTCAATGAACTAAAATTTGATATGAATAATTCATAAGAATGAGAAACAGAAATTTAAATGCTGGGTGAATGAAACATGGTTTATTTCATAATAGTTAAATTAACATTTTGCGGTTACATTTCAATCATTTAAAGGAATTTAATAAACGTCATGTCGAGGACTTACTTGCGTCAAATCTATGTTTCCTTTTATTATCCTTATTTGTACGACAATATTTTCAAATGAGGAGTTCATCTCTGGTACTAGGAAAAATATGGGATGATTTCGAAGACGATTTTATGCAAAATTTACATATATCATAAAAATCCAATAACATAAATCTATATCTATACTACTGAGTATTTTTAAAATGACAACTTCTAATGCAATTATAAACTTTGACAGGTAACGCGTTACAACGTCTTTACCGTAGCTAGAACTTATTGAATAGTGAACATAATCAATTTCAAAATGATTAGTCTAACTTAGTCTAAGTTCATCTGTTTTTTTCGGGTATCCCGAGATGGAGTTATTATTTTATTATATATTTGGAACAAAAATAAATAAACTCGGTGACAATAGCTAAGGTAAGCAAAAATTTGAGAGAGTGGCTCTGATGACGCACTGCGAGTGGCGAGACTTGGAGCGATCAGACGATGCTAACGGGTTGGTACTACCAGCTCGAACACAAGGTGCAGCACGATTTACCACGATCCTCTCGTCACAACTGCTCAATCAGATTAAAAAGATAAGCGAAGTTGATTATCAGAATTTTTCGTGTATTATAGTTAAGGAATAAACTTATTTCTCATTTATACCCTCTATAGGCTCCCTTTATCATATGGACGGACATGGTTTTTAATTCAACTCACGTGTTCCTATTGTGCCAGAACAAGGCACGTGCATTGGCCAGATGCAGTATTGGCAACGAACCTGATTCATTGTTTTATTTGTTCCTCTATGATCCCATTGATTGAATGACGTGAGTATCAATTAAAAATTCAGTAGTTTATTTTTATATTTAGTGATAAGCTTTATATATTATTGTGATGCTGGTTATAAATCTATTTACTTTGTGATTATTATGATTATTTTCTTTTTAAAGGAGTGTAAGTAAAAGTATGTATAATGTGTTTTTAACGGATTTAAACGCCAATTATAAACTTATTGAAGATACAATCGACGAGCGAGTCTATAAAAAGTTATTATGTACATACACATAATAGTAGATTTGTTTTACGATTAGGCGATATTTATTTCTTTTGTACGATTGTCCTATATCTATTAAGGTATCTGAGCATTAGTTCTAATCTCAATATTGTGTTGGAACCACAAATATAAATTCAACATCTTTAACATAACATAAAAAAGACGGTTTAAAACGCGATATATATTAGTTAAACTTATTTGAAAATTATTTTAAAGACGGCTAGTTTAACTAACATATATTGCGTTTTAAACCGTTAATGTGTTTTATTTAAACTATTTAATTTTATGCATTTTCAGTCTAGATAATTATTTGCTCTTTACTTCTTCGCATTACTTAAAGTGTAGCAGGAACTTTCAAAAGGCTACCAAGTAAACACGCTGTCAAAGAAGCTCATTATACGTTATTTATATTCTGTGCACATTCATTTAGCGTATTAATAGCCGTGTGCAATATGCACTTGCATCGCATTCATTTGTATCTGTAGGACAATGTCGGCCATTGTTGTACCATTTTATAAATATAACCGCTCCGAAGCTTTGTAAACTAAGTTTTTATATACACAGCTGGGCCCAGGTTTTCTCTCTTAAGTGAGATTGGGTCTTAGATCTCTGAACAATCACCTTCATTACTAAGTAAAGCAATGACGCTGACTTCCAAACTCACTAGTATTTTGCTTAGAAAAAATACTACCACCACACTAATATTTCGCTCGTGTTGGGACCTGAATCTAGGACCATTATTGACTGTAGGTACATATTTTGTATACCAATTACGCGCTAGTGAGACACTGTTTTAAGTACAAGTGCAAGTTGAGTTCTCGCTTTATTTTTAAGTTAGGAAAGCTCTCTACTTTTTTGGTTTAAATTAACAGGCACGAAACAACGAGCAAAAACTTTTATAGCCTATTTTTGTGCAGCGATTGTTACCTATTATAAATAATGCTTATAAATACTTGTTACTGCTAGACGTTTACTTACTAAACAAAAACTATCGTCAGTAGAAGTTTCTTAAAAGACTGCAATATTTACCATCACATTCATTTTGGACTTGGCAAAAGCTTCAAGTATAGCGCCAAGTAATAATATCGTTACAAAATCGAAGCTCAGAGAGACGGCTATTTTTAGCTCAATCCGAGATTCCCGTGGGAAGAGATTTACGCTAGCTAAGCGTCATACGACTTGAAGGAACTTTCTCTCCATTACCGTCTTTGAAGTAATGACGCTAGAGTATTTCTTATTAGAGTT